TCAAACTCTTTGTTAAGGAGACGTAGCTGGATGGCTAAGTAATAGAATAGGACGGAAAACCCCGGAATTGCCACATGTGCGCGCGTGATTGCTGTGAGCATGTATACATATACACCTAAAAACATATGGTATGTATAATCGCTTCCCCCTAATANNCCCCGTAATAATAAATAATCCGGTTGGTCAGAAAATAGTTATTATTAGGGGGGCATATTCATTGAAAGGATTTGGTAGGGCCGCCCTTAAAAACCTTTTTAAAATCAATTAAATCGAATTAAAATCCCGTTAGAGTCAATTGAAATTTAATCTAAATTCCTTTTAAAATCAATGAAAATCGAATTAAAATCCCGTTAGAATCCATTGAAATTTAATTAACATTCCTTTTAAAATCAATTAAAATCGAATTAAAATTCCGTTTTCAATCAATTGAAATTTACATAAAATTCCTTCTAAAATCAATTAAAATCGAATTAAAATCCCGCTAGAATCAATTGAAATTTAATGAGAATTCCTTTTAAAATCAATTGAAATCGAATGAAATTCAATTGAGATTTAATTAAATACGGCGAAAATTGAAATAAAATCATGTAAATTCGCATTCAGTTCTTGTATATACAATCCTTTATACAACCATATGAAAATCAACCAAAACCTAGGATATCAAGGGGATCCCTAATTCCTTTGGATTTTCTATTATACCCCCCTAATGACCTCAAAACCCCCCCTAATTCATTATGGTCTGGCTCCTTTTAAAATTAGTACAGCCCCTTTTAAAATGCTCATGAGGGAATTTTTAGGGTCCCGGATTCATCATTTATTATTCGGGGGGTTTTATTAACATGAGGAAGAGATTACCCCTATTCGCCCTGTATAATCCCCATCTCTCATCTACAAGTCTGCGATTCCCACTTCGAGGTTCTTCAGTAACCCCCTTAGCCCTAAGGTACAAGAAGGGAGAAAGGGTACGGCTGGGGTACCCAGATGGAGCAGACCCTATAAGCCCTAAACCCTAAAACCCCAAACCCCTCAACCCTCAACCACAGGGCTGAGTCGGGCACCGTGAAGACTGGGCCGGTGCCCAGTCGTATGGAGGCCATGGCACTTGCCCCAATGGCAAAGCCGTCCTGCAATGTAGCTAACGCAAAGCCCCGGAAGCATGTACTAATACTAATAAGAATACAGAACGCGTCGGAATACGGGCCCACATTTTTGGACTTCATTGAAAAAACAGAACGGGACGCACGGCAGGCCCATTTTAACATGATCATCATGGTTAGTAGGTTTAATGTTTGCCTCAATCTTCATAGGCGTATACATGCGTACTACCTTGTCCTTAACAGAATTCAAATTCCGTCATAGACTGTGCTACGGGAAGTTCTGGATAAATACCGACAATGTCCCGGTTTGAAATGTTAACCAAGCATTGGAAAAAACAGCTAGAAATGCATCATTTACGCATAAAAACAGGCCTGCAATGCGTCCTACCCTCCAAAAAAAGTGTAGAGGAGACTTACATGAGACGTTTCCTGTACAATTTAGTTGACTGTCTGAATTTGCAGGGCACTTCCATGCAAAGATGACAGTGAAAGTCGTATATGTGAAGCGATCAGATGATCAAGGGGTGGGAAGGGCTTTGTGGATGAAGTCCAAGAAATGAGCCTGTCTTCTACATTTATGAGATGTGCTGGCTAAAACCATGATAGTGAAGATATCCTAAAAACATAGGAAGTTTCAATACGTGAGCCAATAGTCTTATGGCTGTAATCCTTAAACATGCGTGAAAAAGGCATGTTTTCATCGAAAAACCTGGGCCCGTATTCCGACGCACTCTCCAATAATAATAACAATAATGATAAGAGTAACATTAATCGCAATAATAATGAATAATGTTAAACTTCGGAATAGTTCGAATCATTGCATGTTTTGAAACCAGTCTTGGGCAATCTGTTGGCCCTGTTGGTGTTCAGGAAACACTTGCTGAGTAGGGTGATTACAAAGACCCAGGATACATTCTATATTCGTTTTGAATCATCTTGGGAATCATTGAGGCTTCACCATGAATATCATGCGGATGCTTTCAACCCACCACTTTAGCCCTGCCTTGTGCTTGATCTCAGGGCTCTTGAAACCTCTCACAATGGCGTGGCCGTTCTTTTGGACGATCAACCTGCCCTCCACCTGGAAATCCACATCGTTTCCAATTTCCACTGTTCCCGTGAGGACACCATTTATTACCAGCTCTGTTACCATCTGCATCATAATGGCAATGCAGAAGGGGGGCTTGCAGAACACCTTGGACTTGGCCGGGTTCGGGAAGCGCCTCTCAGCCCTGAAGGTACAACTGCCTTCTCCTGTGATGAGCACGTCCATCGATACACGCACCAGACCACTGATTGCAACGTCAGTGGTGCCGTCAGCGAGCACAGTGATGGCCACATCAGGTTCAAATTGGGCTGCGCCATCCATTGCAACCTCCAAGCCTGTTTCGCACGAGCCTGTGGGAGCTGTGGACTTCTTTTTGTTGAGTTCTTTTGCTGCATCGCGGGACCGCATCACCTGGCCAGCTTTCTTGTAAGCCTGAGCAAAGTCCTCGCCAGGCAGGAGCATCATACCTCCTCCTTTGCTCTTGCCTCCAAAAGCCTGCCCTGGCACAGCTCTGATCCCGAAGCCCTGCGTGAATTCGGCGGTAGCCTTGAAGACACATCTCATGGATATATCAGAGCCCTTCACTGAGACATGGCTGCCAGCAGTGCAATCGCATTGGTCACCGATGAAGAGCTCACAAAGTGAGCGCGGTGAAGTGAGGCAGCTCACATATTCCTTAATCTGGTCCCAGGCATCTTGAGCAAAGCCCACAGCCAAAGGCCCAAGCTCGCCAATGTTTTCTCCCAATTGTTGGGCCTTGTGACTGATGACAGCCCCTATCTGCACAGCAAGCCTGGTCCCTTGTTCAGCAGACCTCTTAGCTGCGTCCAATATGGCCCCTCCCAAGTGAACTGTTGAATCTGCTACTACCTCTCCGGCGTCCACAACCGTGCTTGAAACCTGAACAGCGGCTGATCCTATCTGAGACGCGGCATCTTTGACTGGACCTGGCAAGCTGTCGAACTGCGTTGCAGCTGCTTTGATGACATGGTTCCCTACCACAATGGCGGCGTTGCCAAGAGCACTGCCCACAGCCAAGCCGGCTTTGCCAAGTGTTTTGCCAACCCGTGCAAAGGGATCTGTAATTGCACCCAATAGCTTTCCAGAAACCACGGCATCGAGATCCTGTTCTCTTGTAAGCTGTGCTGCCTCATGCGAGAAGGTACGGGTGGAGCGATCATGGAGAGCACCATGCACATCCAGCACAACGGACCCCTTGAGGTGGTGCGACTCGTGTGCAATGTGAAGTGCGGCATCAGCTTCGAAAATCGAAGAGTTCTCCTCCTGCGTTGTAGAGAGTTGTCACGTCCAGAATACATGATTGCTTGCAATACCGCCACAAGAAATCACTCCCTTATGCTTCCTAGGAGATCGATTTTGGTGGGTAATACTGGGATTACAATAATTTCTTCTGTTTTGCCTCTAGGATGCACCATGGGTAGATCAAGGACCCCCATGCCCCTGTTGCCTGCGAGAGCTTCATCCCGGCAGCTAGGGGAACGATGGCCCTGCCAGAATTCCACGCACACTCTCGGAATTTCATAATAGCAGGTACTGTGTGCCAAATAATTATCACAGGAAGAGACAAAACACCTACTGGCATTTACATGCGTAGGCTATAACAAAGGATGCGCCATGGTTTTTTGGTAAGAACTACCACATCTATCACATACAATCCAAGGAATTCGGTTGCTCAGAAGGAACGCGACGAAACCTGAATGTCAACTATGCCTGACAGGTGAAGCTGAGCCCGCTGCCAGAATATGATCCATGGAGTTCTCGTGGTCCCAAAGAATTGCTTCATTTGTACGGAGGGAGAAGGTGGCTGTGACATCAAACCTCGTTGCTTTGAGCAAGAAGCTGCGACAGCGGCCTCAGAGAAGAACAACTTCTTTGTTGACAGAGTCAAGGGTACAATGTGAGCCAGGAAATGCACATCACAGGAACGAGCTTGATGGAACATGTTGGTGGAATGACAGACAATATGAAGAATGGCATTACGCTTGATCGCAGGCAAGAAACATGCAAAATTCAAATGGCAACCTGTAGCGCAAGGCCAATAAAACACCCGGGCCCGTTTCACAGTCATCGATGCTGCGCATTGAGCTTTTTCCTCAATTCGTTGCAGGTTTGATCTGCGGCTTTACATGCGCCGTTCCCGAGCCGCTTTGGACAGCCAACACCAACTACAAGCCCGCTGCCTGAAGGCACTGAACAGGAGACGCCTGTGCGTCTACCCCACTTCTGTACAGGAGTGGTTGGCGGGGGTGGTTGGGGAGAGACAATACTAAAAAAGACTGCACCTGCTGCGGATCGGGCTGCACAGCGGCGCGAGCAGATCCTCTGTGCGAGCCTAAGACTGTCAAAGGCCTGCAGTTGGTGCTTTGACCTTTTTGGTCGGACGCGGGAAATTCTTGCGGGCACCGTTCTTGAAGATCACGGGCTTGTACTCATCTGGCACGCTGCGGTGCATCACAGGGCTGTTCCTGTAACGTTCCACGTGCGCCTGGCGAGCACGTGCGCATGCTTCCTACTCTGCAATGCCTGCCTCCCCTAGAAAAGAACCTAAAGGAACCTCCCCCGGCACCCTGGCCTTGAATCCTTGGTGGGGGCCGCTCCAGCTCACCTGGCAGACCTTGGCCGTGGGCAGGGACCAGGCTGAGAAGCCGTCAAAGACTGACCACAAGGCATCCACGGCTGCAGCGTCCACCAGGTTCACGAAGGCATAGCCAAGGTTGGCCTGACGGTAGAAGTCACAAGGGAGGTACACGAAGTCGTAGCGACCGGCAAAGCCTTGCTCATCCAGCATGGCAAGGAACATCTCTCTAGAGTAATTGTTGGGGATGTTCCGCAACATTACAGTGGTACGCACAGGGGTCGTGGGCTTGGTGGAGTCCCTCGATGCCTTCACCACCCCAGCTTGCACTGGGCGTGCTGCTTCAGGCGTTGCAGCAGCCGTGCTAGCGGTGCTGGCTGCTTCCTCCTGCGCCTTGACGCGTTCGTTGCTGAACCTCCCAGCCTCGTACGTCTCCTCTTCGTTGAAGTTGAAGGCCCCCAGGAAGACCGAGTCGGTCATAGCTCTACGCAAGCGCCTGTAGCGCTGCATAAGGCTTCGCCCATCATCCACGTCGATGAAGGTGCTCCTCACAACCACATTGCATGAGCCCTCCTCCTCATCGCATGCGTCAGCCATACCACTGGAGCGCGGCGATGGGAGCTCGGAGGGGCATGAATCTTGGATAGTTTCGATGTCGCTGTGCTCAGCCGTCACAGTGCTTTCTGTGTCACTGTGGTCGGCATGCTTGAAGCGCTGCTCTGTGGCAGCCACAAGTGTCTGGCAGGTGGGCGCGTACGACATGACA